TAAGAAAGTATTTAATTCATGAATGATGACTTTATTTAGAACAAAATTTGTGGTATTATTTTGATGGTTATCTTATGTAGTGAAATTTTCATATATTTAATATAATATATAAATGTATCATAGGTTTATCGTTATTTTAATAATTCATTAATACGTTTTTGATTCTTTAACGAGAATCTACGATAACATTTATATCAATTAAAACACTTTACAAAAAATTTTCTAAGTTGATTTAATCGATTGTTTTGTGATTCAATGGACTTAAATACTGCAAAACTTTATTGTACAACTTTTCAAGTTATTTTAACTGATAAAAATAAGTTTTAATGGATAAAAGGGTTTCTAATAATTCATAAAGGAGATTTTCTATTTTTATAATTCAATTAGATGATAAATATAGAAATATACTTTTTGTGGTTGTTGAAGATATTTTTTTCTATTTTCTTCTCCATTAATTCAAAGTTAAATAAAATGAAATAAAAAAGTTATTATTCTTTGTTTTAATATTCATTATTTTTCTTTTTATTTCTAATATAAATTCTATTGGATATTTATAGAATAATACTAAAGATTTTCATTAGATTAGTTTACTTAATTCATGAGTTGATTAAGAAGTCTGTTGATTTGGAATCACAGGATGGGTAAAACGCTGTGCAGAAACTGTTTTAATCGATTGAAAGGAGATTTAATCGATTAAAAGAATTCTGATCGGTCATAATTGCATTATGACCGATCATAATAGAAAGGATATCATAGCGGTTCTAAGTGAACCGCTATTTAAGTGAAGTTTTAAAAGCGGTTCCTGTGTAACCGCTTTCTAAAACATATTTCGCTTGAGCGATAATCTTCTCGCTCGAGCGAAACACCCCTGCACGGAATTGGCACTCTCGGGGTGTGTTTCGCTTGAGCGACATTTTTCTCGCTCGAGCGAAAAGCTGTGCAGAAACTGTTTTAATCGATTGAAACGAGATTTAATCGATTAAAAGAGTTCTGATCGGTCATAATTGCATTCTGACCGATCATAATAGAAAGGATATCATAGCGGTTCTAGGTGAACCGCTATCTAAGTGAAGTTTGAAAAGCGGTTCCGGTGTAATCGCTTTCTAAAACATTTTTCGCTTGAGCGAGAATAGTCTCGCTCGAGCGAAAACACCCCTGCACAAAATTGGCTTTCTCGGGTTGTATTTCGCTTGAGCGACTATAATCTCGCTCGAGCGATGGTGCAATCGCTATTAGAAGTAAATATAAACATATAAATATATCAATATATATATATATATATATATATATATACAAATATATCAATATTATCCCCTCATATATTAATATACATTATTAGCATAATTTTAATTTAAGTAAAAATTAGAATACAAATATACTATACTATACTAATATACCATTATATTATTTTCATTGTATATAAATTACAAAATTAATAATTTGTATACTATACTATACTAATATATTATTTGTATACTATACTAATAGTATAATATACTATATTATAATATTATTTGTATAGAAAACTAATATCTTTATATATAAATATGAAAAGATATAAATATATGTAAAAATATGAAGATATAAATATATGTAAAAATATAAAGATATAAATATATCAATATTTAAATATATCAATATATTGATTAGATTTTCGAAATGATACAAATATATAAAGATATAAATGTATAAGGATATAAATAAATATATAAATATATCAATATATAAATATAAGTTTCTTGTAAAACTTTTCAAGTTATTTTAACTGATAAAAATAAGTTTTAATCGATTAAAACGCTGTGCAGAAATTGTTTTAATCGATTGAAACGAGATTTAATCGATTAAAAGAGTTCTGATCGGTCATAATTGCATGCTGAACGATCATAATTGAAACCATATAATAACGGTTTCAGGTTAACCGCTATCTAAGTGAGCTTTTAAGAGCGGTTCCTGTGTAACCGCTATCTAAAATGTATTTCGCTTGAGCGATACTCTTCTCGCTCGAGCGAAACGTCCCCTGCACAAAATTGGCATTCTCGGATTGTATTTCGCTCGAGCGATGGTGCAACCGCTATTAGAAGTAAATATAAACATATAAATATATACTATACTATACTATACTAATATACCATTATATTATTTTCATTGTATATAAATTACAAAATTAATAATTTGTATACTATATTAATAGTATAATATACTATATTATAATATTATTTGTATAGAAAACTAATATCTTTATATATAAATATGAAAAGATATAAATATATGTAAAAATATGAAGATATAAATATATCAATATTTAAATATATCAATATTTAAATATATATTAAAATATATAAATATATTTTTATTTATAGATTTTATATTTATATATTTATACGGATATACATTTATTTGTATATAAATATAATTTATTTGTAAGTTATTATTAAAAGATCATAGTAGCTCGATGGTTGGAGTTTCAGCCTTCAACTCGAGAGTACTGGGTTCAAATCCCGACAATGACAATAAACCACCTAATAATAAGTTAAGCTTCTAAAAAATATAATATAATTAAGAGATAGGGGAAATAAATATAAATAAAAACTTAAATAAGCAAAAATATAATATAATTAAAAGATAGGAAAAATAAATAATAGATATAATAAAAATAATTAAATTTGTTATTGATCTGAATCAGTGACCGATTCAGTGACCAATTTGATTATATCTATTCGGTCACTGAAATCAGTGACCAAGGAAATAGTGACCGATTCGAGTTGGTTACTATTTCGGTCACTATTTTAATCAGTGACCGATTTTGCACATTTAGTGACCGAATTTTCGGTCACTATTTAGTGTTTTTGTTGTAGTGGTTGTCCTTCCTTATTTCCACCCGATGCCCGACAAGTATTTCAACAACAACCTTCCCAACAAGGATCACAACAACAATCACAGGAGAAGCAAGAGCAAGAATAACAACAATCACAACATCAACCAGCTTTCGCAGAGCGGTCTCAAAATGAACAAGCACATTACTCAAATTATTAAGACACTCAAACAATATTGTTATAATATTTATTATAATACTTCTTTGGATTTATATGTTCTTAGATATTTTGAATGACTATTTGATGCATGCTAATATTAGGATTTGTGTTTGATATTTGAATATGCACTTGGTGCATATCAATATTATGGAATATTGTTAAATTTGATATCTAAATACTTTGTGTGTAATATGTATGTAATTAAGAGATAAAATTTTGTTAAATCATTGGTGGTGATGAAATTTTATAATGAACGTGATCCATAGGTAATTATCTACAGATTATGTTCGTAGGTAATTACCCACAGATTATAATCCGTAGGTAATTATCTACGGATTCGGTTCAGTAGGTAATTAGCTACGGATTACAATCCGTAGATAATTAATTACCTACTATCATACAGGAAAAAAATCTATAAATAAAATGATATTATCTACAGTATTTTTACCATTACCTACGGATTTTTGCAGTAGATAATCAACTTTTTTTTTTTTTTTTAGTGAGTAAACATAGATCTAATTATATTTTTAATCTCCAAAACACTTTTTTGGTGCTTATTAATATATATTATTGGAAATACAAAGTACATGCATGTCTAATTTTTATATATATATATATATATATATATATATATATATATATATATTGTAGTAATTTATAGATTGTTATGATTAAATGATAAGTTTCCAGAGATAGTGAGAGAAAAATGTATAAAGAAGAAAATAATGAAAAAATTTGATTGTTTGTATTTATTAATTTATATTTAAAAGAAAAATCAAAGAAAATATATGACTAAAAAGTATAAGAGATATGATTCAAGGAAAATTATTATTATTTTTAATTATTTTTATTTAATTAATTTATATTAAAAAAATTGAGAAGAATATAAGATTAAAGAGTATGATTGAAGAAATGATATGTTTATATTTTTCATTTAATTGAACTAAAATTTAATATATATGTATATATTTATTTCAAAATATAAATATTTATTTTTGTAATTATTTATTCTAAAAAATGAATGAATATAAAAGAATTTGAAGAGAGGATAGAAGAAAATATTTATATTAATATATCCTAGAATTACTCTTTTCATGACCATAATTTACATGTCGTTTCTCTTTCTAATTAATAATGATTTAGCTGTTAATTCCGTGGAACCAGAATGAATGGAATGGAATCTTCATTTCTGTTCCATTCTTTCTCTCCATAATTCCAATTTCTTTAATTTCAACTTTGTTTCGGTTGCTGACATGGTCCACATCCCGTCGCCTTCAGCATTCATTCCTACACGACAAGAATCAGTGGCCAACGTTTGATGGTATAAACTATAAAGGCATAATTTTTCAAAAAAAATCCGATTATGCCCAATTGCTATTTTGGCCATGAGAGGCCAACCTGACACGCAACCGAAACTATTTGCCAAAAGACAACGTCGATCATATTTAAGTAAACCTCCAAATTCGCATATTTTTCTCTACTCATGAGTTGTTGCCTTCTCATGTTAACGTGTGTTGGCCTTTGAGTATTCATCTTTCTTTACTCGTTTTTTGTTTGTTTCATAATTTGAATTGAGTTTTTTTGCTTGTTCATGCTCCCTCTCAGACATTTAGTTTTGACTTTTGATAGCGATGGATCATGTCATGGGGTATTTGTTTATTATTTATTATTTTTGACTATTACTTATGCGTGGAATCAATCTAACCAGCAAGTTACTAGTAGGCTTCGAATGATTTGACTTTGTTGTGATTCGTATGTGAATGGTTTGTCATGTGTTTGATTTTTTTAGTAAATATGTGGATTGTGCAAATTACTTATCCATGAGTTTATTGAGTTTCTAGGCATAAACCATAAATGAATCTTGTGCTTTTTCCGTGGGTTTGAGATGGATGAGGACGATGATGAAGGCAAGTTGTGAGAACTTCGTCTCTCCTCAAGGATCATAGAGCAATTAGATTAATTTTGACGATGGTGATCAGAGAGGAAAAGGGTGTGAAGCTTGTTCTGCTTAAATTTGGTTTGGCTTTGGCTCTTTCATTTGCTGGATTTCTCTACTCACGCTTCAGAATCAGAAGAATCAAGCCCTCCAAATCACGCAACGGGGCTAGTGTCGGTTGGTTTCTGCCTCTCACCAATATTTCATCTCTCCTTTTCCCCTTTGTTTCCTTGAATGACGAATCTAAGTTTCTTTATTCATTTTTCGTCTTCCTCAGGTCACGATAGTGAAGTTAATTTAGGAGGAGGTATAGGGGCAGCATTAAGTACTTGCAACACCATTTCAGAGGGAAATTTTCTATGTTCTGTAAGTTTCTTTTGCGGTACAAGTATGCACTCTGCCACAAGAAAAGTATAGTGTTTTTCTGATTTTTTAAAGATGCCATTTTAATTAAGATTTAGTGATTCATTACTATCAATATAAAACTTTTACATTAACTATTTAGGAAGTGTGATTATTTTTTAATGGAAAAAAAAGTTGGTGCTAAGAGAACCTTGTCTCTCTCTAATGGATATGGGTCTACCAAGCTTGATTCAAGTAAGTTGGAATTTATGTAGCTTCTAAATATTGAGGGTTTCCAACAAAAAAAAAAACTATTGGGAAAGTGTAATTAGTAGTGTGTTAGGTACCATCAGTTAGTTAGGTTAACGGACTGACCAAGGTATGTTGCCTATAAATAAAAGGAGAGTTTGAGATAGAGATCTCTCCGTCAATTAAGAAAGTATTTTACAAAAAAGAAATAAGAAAATTAGACTGAAGGAGTTAAGAGAATTTTTTGTCTTCCAAATGAATTCTAACATTGAAACCTTCTATAATTAGTTGTGTTGTATCTAAGATACTTTAGAGGGAACAAATAAATTGTAGATTTTGATCTTCATGCTGTCCTTTTGAATGCAATTACCAATTAACATAATTAATTATACACATTACTTAAAGTTGGCCATTTTTTCTTTTCTTAAAAATTAAAAACTAAAACAGGGTGGTTAAATTTCCTTTTATTGCAGGAAGAAACATGCATCGACAGGGTGATAACTGGCAATTCTCCTCTTGCTCTCTCTCCTGACAGTACTCAAAATAGTGATAAAGATGAGTTACTCCTACCTGAATTTAATGATCTTCTTATGGACGTAGACTTTGGAGACACAGTTATCAGAACTTCCTTTAAAAAAGATATGGAAGCACCATGGTTAAAAGTATATGCAGATACTGAGAAGGATGAGTACGAGCAAGAAGTAAGTCAACTCAGGAACATGATTAGAATGCTTCAAGACAGAGAACAAAGTCTCGAGGTTCAACTGTTCGAGTACTGTGGTCTTAGAGAGCAAGAAACAGCAGTGATGGAGCTCCAAAATAGATTGAAAGCAAGCACTGTGGAGGTAAAGATGTTCAATCTGAAGGTTAAGACCTTACAGTCTGAGAATTGGAGACTAAAGGAACAGGTTGCCGATCATACAAAAGTGGTGGCTGAGCTTGAGATTGCAAAAGACGAAGTCAAATTGCTCAATAAGAAAATTAGGTATGAAGCTGAACAGAATAGGGAGCAGATCAGAAGTCTTCAACAGAAAGTTTCCACATTGCAAGACCAAGAATGCAAAGGTGCTTGTGATCAAGATATTCAAATAAAGCTGCAAAATCTAAAGTATCTTGAGTCTGAAGCAGAAGAGTTGAAGAAATCTAATTTAAGATTGCAGATAGAAAATTCTCATTTAGTTCGAAGATTGGATTCTACCCAGATCTTTGCTAATTCAGTTCCAGAAGACCCGGAGGTACGGATATCATATAATCACACAGACACCTTCCTTCAGTCACTGCTTGTTAGACCCTAATTTTTACCTTGTGCTTTTGAGATGCAGGTAGATGCTCTGAAGCAAGAGAGTGAGTGTCTCAAACAAGAAAATATGCGCTTGATGAAGGAAATTGAGCAATTACATTCTGATCGATGTTCAGATCTTGAAGAATTAGTATATATGCGGTGGATAAATGCATGCTTACGATATGAACTAAGAAATTATGAAGCCGCGCCAGGTAAAACAGTTGCAAAGGACTTAAGCAGAAGCTTAAGCCCTACGTCCGAGAGGAAAGCCAAACAGCTTATACTTGAATATGCAAATGCTGATGGACCAGGGAACATCGTCAACTTTGATATAGATCAATGGTCGTCCTCGCATTCTTCTTCTCTCACTGACTTTGGAGAATGTGATGATTTTTCTTCTGTAGATAATTCATCTGCTGCTAAAACTAACACCACAAGCCAGACCAAGCTTTTAAGCAAGCTTAGACAATTGATACAAGGCAAAGATAGTCACCGTAGTCATGTTTCATCACAAGAAAAATATGGACATCAAGATAGCAATCCTCCACGGCTACGTACATCAACTGGAATGGAGGGTCCTAGGAGTGAGTTTGCTACTCCCATTGTTACGTATAGAACTTCCCTTGATTTCTCTAGGTTTACGAGTATGCAGGAAGAAGCAAATAGGAGGAATTCAGATAGTGCTTTCATGGGAAGCTCAAGTAAATTCAGGGCACGTACGAAAGGTTCTTTCTCAGATTCCTTAGGCTTGGAAAAAAATAATTTGGAGAAATACGCAGAAGCTTTAAAAGATTCTAGCGTGAGTGCTAGACATCAAAGACGTAGAAGATCAGCATCATGTAGTTAGTTTATTGTAACTTATTACCAATCATACATTAGAAATATAGGCGGTGTAGTAGACAATGTAAATTATCCGTTAGGTCTAGTTCAGACACCATCTGTGCATGTATTAAATAAAAATGCATTTTCAATCATTGACATTCTTCATAAATAGTTTCTTAGTTCAGATTACCACATTACAATAATTTTTATCTTGGAAAATGGTATTTGTCACAATTTCTTTTCATTCATAATTGGTGTATGAGGTGGGACTCGGTACAATGTTATATATGGGTGACATGCTTGTCCATCTAACACTATCTAAAATTAGGTGAATTTGCAACGAGAGAATCGTGAGCCGCGTCATTTGTCATAACTTTGCTAACTCTGTTGGTTTAATATATATCTTAAAATGAGAAAGTTGAATAACTTGTAAATAAAAAAGATTTGCAAAACTATTATCATAAGATTTTAGGTTGAAAGTAAAATTATATACTCTTATGTGTAGGTAAACTCTGGCCTAGTGATAACCCTTTCACAAAAACCCAACACAATCATTGCACAAATTGTTAACATTTGCTTCATGTCCACTTAGCTTTGAATAACATCACAACTAGTTGTTAGCATTAATTAATAGCATATATGCTGACGACAAATCTGGCCTATGTTTTGATTTAGACATGCATTATGCAGTCGAGTTATCGCTTTTTAGGTGATTCCCTGGCTACGTGCTTATTTATGAATTAATGTAAAATGAAAAGCATCGCAGCAGCAAGAATTTCATTTCAATTTTGAAGTTATTGATTTTCACAATGACCTTGACTAAATTTTGGAAAAAGGATAGAAAAGAACAGATAAAATAAGCACTGGTGCATGCATTATTTCGACGATAAGTTAATGTGAAATTTATGAAGATTTTATTAAATACTACAACAATACGGGCTTCTCCGGACTATAAGGAATAATAAACTTTCGCATCATTTCCAGGAAGAGTAGTGGTACACAGCCATGAGCCCTTAAGTGATAAGGGCTATACCTTGTAAAATCAATGCATCGGCTAAAACTTGGTTAGCAGCTTGTGAAGGATGGACGCTGTCCCAAAACACATATTGAGTTGCATTGGAACAAGTTCCTGGTGATTTTGGATTGCACAATAAAGATGTTGTCTCCACTATTCCGGTACCACAACAACCTTTTCTTGCCTCGGCAAAACCTATTGAATATCACAAGAAAGTATAGAAGCATAAGTAACATCCTTTTACACCAAGAGATCAAAATCATGTAAGTATTGGTTACCAAATTTTGAAGGGGACTGAACAAGGTCATAAAGAGGTTTGTAAATATCAAAGACAGCAATCTTAAGACCAGGAAGTTTCTTTTGGAGATTTGCTGCAGCTGACTTGATTTTCTGGTTAAATCCCTGAGCATCATTGTTGATCCTCGATACACAACCACTCTCATGGAAACCAAACAAAGTTCTTGCAGCAGGTAGGCAGCCAAGAGGTGGGAGTGAAGTCACTCCAACTTTCCTGGCTCCCAATTTATGCAAGTCCTGTGCTCAAAACAAAGCATCTTTAAAAGTCCTTTTATGTTTTGGTAAGATTATGACTCATTATACCAGTACTAGCCATAGCTTGCAAAGTAACAGTAACAAATTAAAATACCTTAACAAAGCTTGAAAATGCACCCACAAGGTATTCAGAATACTGATCAGGAGTTAAGGCTTTATTGATCAAAGGATTGACGTAATAGTTTTGCACAAAATCACTGCTGCCAGCACTCAATATGTACAGCGCATCCTTAATGATGAATGCTGCTTTTTTACCGCCAGCAACCTTGGCTAGCTTGCCTTGATATTCCTTGTAATATTTTAACTGTTGAGACAATGGAATCGCATGCTGCAAAAAGTAATATAAGAAAAACATAAATTTTTAAAGATATTTTGCATGAGTGTGTGCGGAAGCTATTCATTTCACACTTACATTCAAAATAGAAGCCTTTTCATCATAACCAGAGGCTGCTGAAGCAAAGTTTGCTCCAATAAGAAGATTCTTCCCTGAAGCCTGAGGGCTAAGATATGCAGGTGCAAAACTCTTGAAACCAAGTGTTTCAGCTGCAAAAGGAAACATTATTTCAACAAAAATAAAACATTATTTCTAACCAAGCCAAGCGAATTCCAATTTTAAATTTATATCCTCACCAGTAATATCAGTCGCTAGTTTCCCATTGCAGAACCTCCCAGTGGGTTGATGGTTGACAAAGTCCCTTCCATAAGGAAGGTAGTTTGCCTTGAAAAGGGTAGGCAAATAATCGTTATTCCCAACATCCACGGCTGAGTCACCAAATGTTATGATTGCTGGCACAAGGGTATTTTGTGCATTGCCCCATGCCAAGAAGACAAATGCAAAGAGCACAACAAGAAGTGCTTTTGTGCTATTGATATTCATCTTGTATGGCTAACAATAAGCTTCATGAATTTTTCTACTGTGCATGCATTATATTTATAAGTTGAAGTGTCGAACTAATATGGCAACTGAAATAGCCCTTTATCAGCCTATTAATGAAGGAGGATTGAAGTTGAGCATGGCTATTAAATGAAAACACATGGACTGGTTATCTGCTATCTTCCTTCGATAATTTCCTGTTTTCTGAGACCATTCGTTTTAATCTCACATGTGATTTGATTTCTAAGCACACACTCTCGTCTCGTGTATGTTAACATTGTTTCTTTATTTACTTCGGTGGTCGGTGAGAAAAGTCGTTGAAATTCTGTGCTTTGGAGGCAGCTTAATAATCTTGATCACGAGAGAGCTGCATGGTTGGAGACTTGGAGTTATTACCATTGATGAGTTGTCAGTGTTTTTGCTTTTTGGTGAATAAAACGGATAATTCAAGTTGGACTTTTTTTCATTTTTGGATTTAATTTTGATTCACAAACAATATAGAATGATTTTATGTATCTCCTCCAATCATATTACATTCTTCACACCTCTTTTGTACACTATATATACGTTACACAGATTTGTCTCTCTTGCTAAGCAGTATGAATGCCTTTTACTTCATAAATGTAGTGGATTTATTCTCTTGTAAATCCGCATGACTATGGATAGTTGAAGGTTGATAACTAATTAGAAAATTAAAAATAACAAAAGAATAGAAAAAAACTAGAAAACACAATCTTAATCACTATCTTGCATCTGGGCCACAATGAGCTTCAAGATCAACAACATTCATTTCAATCGAGTTGATGCCTTTTTGTTCTCGAGTTGCTTCCATTTTTAGGGACTCTTTCAGTTCAGCAACAATGTGACTCATTGATGGCCTTTGGATAGAGGTTGAAGGCACACAAGCTACTGCTGCTTCTAAGGCCTTCCACATAGAACCAAAGTCAAAATCTCCGTGCATCTTTGGATCAACAATTTGTTGTATATCTCCCCTTTCAAGAAAGTGGTTAACCCATTGCACAATGTGAGTGTTCTGGTGACCTTTTTTTATAGCTGGCTGCCCAGTAATTAGCTCCAAAAGCACAATGCCAAAACTATATACGTCGCTTTTTTCGGTCAGCCAGCTGGAGATGTAGTATCTGTGAAAGGAAACTCATAAATAGGTTGAAAATGATATGTTCAACTTAATCCTTCTTGTAATTAAAAGAATCAGCACCATGTTTGTGTGACAAAACTTACTCAGGATCAAGATATCCAACCGTGCCAATAACTACAGTTGATACATGACTTCCATTTTCAGCCGAGAAAAGTTTTGAGAAACCAAAATCAGCTACTTTTGCTTGCATTTTCTCATTCAGTAAAATGTTTGCAGTCTTTATGTCTCTATGGATTATTGGTGGCTTGCAGCCGTGATGCAAGTACTCGATACCTAGACGTATACATATGTTCCGATACAGTAATTCAGTATCCTTTAATCACAGCAAAGTGAGGATTAGACTAATCAAAACAGTATGTGATACCACTAACCTTGAGCAGCATCAACTGCTATCTGAATCCTCTGTCTCCAACTCAATGGCTCTCTCCTGGCATCTACTCAGACACAAAATAGAGTATAGTTTCTCGTTTACTTGAATGTAGTCATTGATCAAGTAACCATGCATTGCAAGCATGAAATGGATGGGAAAACAAATGAATATACCTGAAAGATACTGCTCCAAGTTCCCATAAGTCATGTATTCGTAGATGATGGCTGTGTGTCCAACTTCATTACAGTATCCAAGAAAGGAAGCTAAGTTCTTGTGATGCACACGCATTAAGAGTTGAGCCTGCAAATACGTGGAAGCATGCCATCTTAGCTAGAATATTTCTTAAAATTCAAAATATGCCATCTTAAATTTCATGGTGAGAAGCATGCCTCAGTCTGAAATTGCTGAGATCCTTGAGGGCATTGTGGCAAGAGCATTTTGACAGCAACTTGTGTGCCATCCTGTAAGGAACCAAGATAAACGACTCCACACCCTCCCTTCCCAATTGTTTTGTCGAAGTTATTGGTTATAGTCATTATCTGAGAGTACGAGAACTGTTTATTACTTGTCTTCAGCACAACTTCTTCGTTTGATCTAACAGCCCGCTTTGAAACTAAACAAAGTAACCAAAATTCATCATATCAGAAAGTCATGTTTAATATATACTGTAATTTAAATGTGATTTTTTTTTTTCATTTTGATTAAATACATCATTTCTTTGTCATTTGAAGTGCAAAATGTTATTTTGGTCTTTGTATAAAAGGAGTTTAATGCATTTTGAAGTCAATGATTGTGAGACCCTCAATCTAGCTTCAAAGTAAGACAAGTATATCTATTTTCAAACCTGGTTTTCTGTTGCATCTCCTTCTCCAAATGATAGTCATTACAATGCCCAACACAATGAAAAATACTATTGCTGAAAGAATGCCTGCAACAAGTCGGATAATATGTGTTTTGTCCTCTTCACATGGGCCTGTCACGCAGAGATCCGGATTTCCATCCACTCTATGGTCATAACAATTTTGGTTTAAGAGATTGAAGAAAAAAGAAGTTACAAGAAAAAGTAGGTCAACAGCTGTGAAGCTTAGGTCAGTGAGTAACTTAGTACAATCATGATTTCAAACCAAAACAAACCTCCACAAAAGGGAACCATCATCTAATCTTTCCTTGAGACCTGGAGGAATTTCACCCGAGAGTCTGTTCCCTGATAAATTGCTGCTAATATAGTATATGTGAGATGACATTTTTTTATTTCCACTGACAAATATCAGATACTGAAATCTCTATATAACTTACAGAGTCTTTAAGTATTGCAGATTTGAAAAATCAGGCAGTGGTCCTGTTAAGCTATTGTTCGATAAATCCCTGAAAAACAAGACATTGTTTTTATGTTAAATTAAAATTATGGTAGACTAATAGTTGTTGTTTAAGGAATCCATGTTAAATGTTGGCTATAATCTTTAGGGAAGAAATATTCTGTTTTCCATCCTTTTTTGGGATGGATTAGAATTTAATCAGTCTGTTGCCAAATTAACACTTACAAGGATTCTAAGAATTTGAGCTCCAGAAAAGAAGGAATTATTGTGCCATCTAATCCACTGGAGGCTAGGTTTCTGCATGCAGTTCAAATGAGTATTGGTCTGCCATTATTTAATGAATGCAAATTTGAATTTTGGAAATAAAACTTACAACGCAGTTATTGTGGGTGATTTATATCCATTATTGCTGCAGTTGAGGCCATTCCAAGAGTATTTCAATGGTGCACAAGGATCTCCTTGCCAAGATTTACCCAACGAAGACTCCAACTTGTAGTGTGATTTGATGAACATGATAGCCTTAACTACAATTCTCACCAGAATAGAATGTCAATATCTGTTATTTATGTTAACCCTTTTCCAACATGTGATGTGATTTATACTTTTACTACCTTTCTAACAGCTACCAACAACAAACAAAAGAAAATCAAAGAGAGGGAAAGGAACAACTAACCATCTTCTGAATCTGTGGGTAAATGCAAAAATTCTTTAACAATATAAATCTCCATTGCATTTAGAATGGGAGGATGACTGGAATTTGGTTTCTTGTACATAGAGAACTTGAGCTTATTTCCCCTGATGGCCTGTTTACTATCTATCGTAGTTGACAGCAAATACTTGGGAGTCACAGATTCAGACAAAATTTTCCCATTCAATGTAATTTCGAATGCCCTGCTTTCGTTTTCCTTAAGCTCTTCGATTTCAGCAAAGTGCAGGTAAACATATGAATCTGAAGTAGGATGTCCAGTGTCAAAATCAAATTCCAGGGAATCATTTTCATTTTTGGGTCTCACAGCAGTTTGCATTACCGCTGATGGCAGGTGATATGCAGTATGGTTCAAGGAGTCAATGGTGAAGGAAGTATTGAGAAGTGTAGAATCTGGTAAGTCGTAAGGATACCACATTCGATCATAAGAATCTTCTTCAAACCTACATGTTATCAAACAGCATTAAAAGCTAAATAACGGAAGCTAAATTCAATTCTTTATCTAGACAAATAGAAGCCGAGTCCCCGTGACTAGCAAAGAAATTAAACTTGGTTGTGAAAATGCTTGCATATGTGACTGATAAGTAGCTAACTTACCTCACTATTTCATTGGTTGTTGAGCCAATGTCAAAACGTCTATACAGGGATAATAGTTTAGAGTTTGTTCTATAACTGGAATCATCAAAGTGCCTCACCTCCAGTGCTGATATAAAAGGAGTTCCCATATCAGTATTCAACAAACAAACATATAAGTCATCCACGGATGGCACATGTAAAATCTCCTTGATTACAACATGAGTGGCATTGTCAAACATCACAGAGTCCCATAAATTAACCCCAACATAGAGATCAAACTGTGGCAGCTTATTCAAGTCATCATAGTTTCCATACATGAAAGAAGCTCTTATCAAGTAAATAGTATTTCTGCCTTCTGGATGTTTTAGTGTGTAGCAGTTCCTTTTCTCCTCAGGGAAGCTTCTCACAGTTGTGAAAGTTCTCTGGGTTTTTTCAGAAATGAACTGGAGGGATATGTTTTTGCTTATTCCTGTGCCAATGAACTGTGCATCTGAAAAGTAATGAATCTGAGTTTTCTCATCAGTGTAGGTAACCTCTTCTGCTATGCCACAGTCAATGGAAATAGAACCTAGAATTAAGTCAAGCTGACATCAGAAGAATGTATGGATTTAATAATAAAAAATTTAGTACTTTTCTTTAAACTATTTTTTTCTCATCTAGTTACAAATAACTTTGCAGACAATTTTATACAAGCTCAGAGCAGTAGAAGAAAATCCTCACCAGAGACATCATCTAGTTTCCTTCTTCCTTGTTTGTTATACATATAGTTCTTCTCTGTGGCCAGAACTATGGACTTTCCTAAAAATTCTGAAATGGTATATGCAAGAACACACCATAAGGTGAAGCACCAAGCCCAATGGCATCTCCATTTTCCATCCATGAAATTTCAGAAAGAAGATCACTATTTGCTAATTGCTTTAAGCAGATATTATCAAACAGTTGAATATGTTTTGTGATTAGAACAAAACGATAAGGCATTTATTATATAAAGTCGTATGGAGTGGTTGGGGAATTTATAACCATGCCACTCAGTATACTAAGAGATTTATGATAACACGTATGTTGATGTTTAAACTTTAAAGTGCATTAAATCCGTGGACCAGACACAATTTAAGATCAATGAGCATGAAGTTACTTGGTGATGGGGGAGCAAGTGTCAGTGAAATTCTTTTTGGTCACCAATAAATAATTGTTTAAGAGATGCCCTTATGCAATGGTGGTTATGGACACCCTATGATTAATACCAGCTGTAATACCGACTTCATAAAAAGAGAGTTTGATACAATGAATGAGAAAAGTAAGTTGAAATTGATAGCTTCAGTAAACCTGCCGACTAGGTTTTGTTAATAATCCTTCTGATTCTATGTATCGTTTAAGATTGTGCTACACTAACCAACATAGATACTAACTTTTATTATTTTTAATAAACCTAGTGTTTTTAAAAAGTATATAAAAATGAAGAAAAATTATTATTTTTCATTTTTTTTACAATAGTTATTTTTTATTTTACTCTTTATCTCTCCAAACTAAGAAGCCTTAAAAGATAGCAACATACTAGTAAAAGGTGAACAAGAGGGTGAGGCACTTTTTCAGGAATGCAACTCAGAACTTATTCGTAATATACTAGTACAAAATAAGCTTTTAACATCGGTTCTAGAACCGATGTAGATACAACCGATGTAGAAAGTGTGACTTTCCACATCGGTTGTAAGGAGGAACCGATGTAGAAAGTCTAATATTTTTATTTATTCATAACCCCTCTCCAATTACCCTATCTATTGATAGGTAGGTCTCTTCTTCCTTTTATATTATATTTTTATTACTTATTATATTATACCCTATCTATTGATAGGTAGGTCTCTTCTTCCTTTTATATTATATTTTTATTACTTATTATATTATTTAAATTTTTTAAGAATTTGAATTATTATCGAAGTAAGAGAATTATTCTTGGCAAGATTCGAACCCAGTACCTTAGAGTCGAAGGTCGATACTCCAACCACTAAGCTACTAGGATTTTTCGATAATAACTTATACATAAATTATATTTATATACAAATAAAAATGTATATCCATGTAAATATATAAATATAAAATATATAAATACAAATACAAATATATTTATATATTTATATGTTGGACGTGAGGGCGCGCTCGAGGATGAAAATGTGTGTCGAGTGAATTTTCAAAATTTGATGTCAAATTTGTGAGCGAGTCTCTTTATATGGATTATAACTTAATGACAAAATATAATCTTTATAATTTATTTATATAATGATATAAAATAATTTTTTTTCTTTATTTTATATCATTATATAAATTAATTATAAAGATTATATTCTATATTATTATAAATAAATTATAAAGATTTTATTCTATTATTAAATTACAAACTCATATAAAGAGACTCGCTCACAAATTTAACATCAAATTTTGAAAACCCACTTGTCATACACTTTCACTCTCGAGCGCGCTCTCACATCCAACATATAAATATATAAATATAAAAATATATTTGTATTTGTATTTATATATTTTATATTTATATATTTACATGGATATATATTTTTATTTGTATATAAATATAATTTATGTATAAGTTATTATCGAGAAAATCTTAGTAGCTTAATGGTTGGAGTATCGATCTTCGACTTCTAAAGTACTGGGTTCAATCTTGTCGATGACAATTCTCTTAAATTTATAAAATCACTTTCTACATCGGTTCATCTGAATTTATAAAAAGACTTTCTACATCGGCTACATCGGTTCTCGGATGAACCGATGTAGAAAGTGATTTTATAAATTTAAGAGAATATCATTAGCAAGATTCGAATCCAGTACCTTAGAGTCAAAGTCGATACTCCAACCACTAAGCTACTAAGATTTTTCGATAATAACTTATACATAAATTATATTTATATACAAATAAAAATATATATCCATGTAAATATATAAATATAAAATATATAAATACAAATACAAATATATTTATATATTTATATGTTGGACGTGAGGGCGCGCTCGAGGATGAAAATGTGTGTCGAGTGAATTTTCAAAATTTGATGTCAAATTTGTGAGCGAGTCTCTTTATATGGATTATAACTTAATGACAAAATATAATCTTTATAATTTATTTATATAATGATATAAAATAATTTTTTTCTTTATTTTATATCATTATATAAATTAATTATAAAGACTATATTCTATATTATTATAAATAAATTATAAAGATTTTATTATATTATTAAATTACAAACTCATATAAAGAGACTCGCTCACAAATTTAACATCAAATTTTGAAAACCCACTTGTCATACACTTTCACTCTCGAGCGCGCTCTCACATCCAACATATAAATATATAAATATATTTGTATTTGTATTTATATTTTTTATATTTTTATATTTACATGGATATATATTTTTATTTGTATATAAATATAATTTATGTATAAGTTATTATCGAAAAATCTTAGTAGCTTAGTGGTTGGAGTATCAGCCTTTGACTCTAAGGTACTGGGTTCGAATCTTGCCAGTGACAATTCTCTTACATTTATAAAAAGACTTTCTACATCGGTTCATCTGAGAACCGATGTAGAAAACACTTTCTACATCGGTTCCCTGATGAACCGATGTAGAAAGTCTTGAATTCACTTTCTACATCGGTTCTTTAAGAACCGATGTGGAAAGACCGATGTTAAAAGTGATTTTTGTACTAGTGTATTGTGAGCCTTCGTTTTCAATCAAGGTTCATTTTCTTTTACATTTCAAACAAGTTTATAGTCAATAATATAGATTCCAGAGACTGCCATTGTTAGATGTCAATTGCCATAGGACCATGATACAATATAAGATGTGGACAACCACAAGTAAATATCAAAACTCTACATAAAGACAATATTTTTTCAGTCAAATAATAATACTATTCTAAAGAACATAATTTTCCATTGAAGTATTCTAATGAGTAATTATTAAGTGGTAAAAAATTGATATAATTATGTTTTGAATTGTTATGAAACCACTTAACTTATGTTAATTCTAATATATTTTTCTCTCAATATTGGATGAATTCGAGAATACCTTGATACAAGAGTAAGGAGCACAATTGTCAGCATAATTGGAGTAAAATTAAAAGAAAGAAGAACCCTTAAGCGAATGAATGATGCAAGACCCGACCCAAATTCTCTTATAAAAAAAAGATAAGTTGTGTTTTGAGAAAGACAAACAGTCTTGGAGAAGAGGAGGCACGACTACTGTTAGAGTTTCGTCTAATCTTCATCAATTCTTCACTTCTTCATCAATTAGAGCATTGTAATGACCAACATGAGTGGCTAACTTCATTCTCTTAGGATTCGGTGCACTTCCTTTGAACTCTTTTGTATCATGGTGATATTTTGAGATATTAATCTATGCTTTGATGTTGTTATTCTTATCCTTTATGCTTTGGAATGATTTATTCTTGATGTTTGGGGTATGATTGAAAAATATATCTTGAACCCTAGATCACGGTAAGAATATTTGTTACGTTAATTGCCAAGAATGGAATGAATGTATCAACTGCTTAACACCCTAACCCTAATGCTGGAAAATCTCTTAATTGTGTGAGGAATCAACATTTATTAGGTTTTCTTATGAATTTCATGTGTAACACTACTACAAATAAAGCTTTCAACGTCGGTTTAATAACCGACGTTGTATCAGGCGACGTTGAAAGTCGTAACTTTCAACGTCGGTTCTAGTAAACCGACGTTGAAAGTATGATTTTTAAAATTAATAATTTTTATTTATTTACAACCCCTTTACCCCCTTTTATTTATCTAGAAGTCTCCCCTCTCTTCATATTATATTTTTATTAGGTCCTCCATCTCTTTATATTATATTTTTTAGAAGTTTTTTAATTTTTAAGAGAATTGTCATTGGCGGGATTCAAACCCGAGTACTTTAGAGTTGGAGAGTCGATACTCCAACCACTAAACTACTTGAATTTTTTGATAATAACTTACAAATAAATTATATTTATATACAAATAAATATATATCAGTGTAAATATCACTACTAGAAAAACACCCAATCAAAACCCAAGCAACTTCGAATCTCAACCCTGACCTCAACCTCGACGAACTCGAGGCCGAACCCCAACTCCGGCGACATCGAACCCCAATGTCAAGCCAAACCCAATTGTCATGCTTCGTGAAACCCAACGCAAACCCAGCGGAGCTCGAACCCTAACGCATACCCTAGTGACGTCGAACTCTAACCTCGAGCCAACCCCCACTTTAATTCGGTCGCAATTAGCGATTGATTGATTGCTCAAGGATGTGTAAAAGATGATATATTCAATGTATGTTAAAAAAGTTCAAGCCAAACTGTTTTTATAGAAGATTTTCAAAACTCGATGGTTTAATTAATCTGTTAAAAGATTCTTTTAATCTGTTAAAAGTGCAGTTTTAATCTGTTAAAACTTCTTTTAATCCATTAATACGTTCTTGATTCTTTAACGATTTGTTTTAAGCTGATACGTACGACAACGTTTATATCAATTAAAACACTTTACAAAAAATCTTCTAAGTTGATTTAATCGATTGTTTCGCGATTCAATCGATTGAAATACTGCAAAACTTTCTCGTAAAACTTTTCAAGTAATTTTAACTGATAAAAATAAGTTTTAATCGATTATAACGCTGTGCAGAAATTGTTTTAATCGATTGAAACGAGATTTAATCGATTAAAATAGTTCTGATCGGTCATAACTGCATTCTGATCGATCATAATTGAAACAATATAATAGCGGTTCCTGTATAACCGCTATCTAAAATGTATCTCGCTTGAGCGACACCCTTCTCGCTCGAGCAAAACGCCCCCTGCACAAAATTAGCAT